GATGGATGGATGGATGGATGGATGGATGGATGGATGGATGGATGGATGGATGGATGGATGGTATGGCTGTCGTCTACCATGTTTAATACATGAATGCTGAAAAGCAGGATTTTCAGTATGCATCATCACAGCATCATTTCCTTCAGTCACACACCAAACAGACTGTATTAAATTCTTGCCATTTTGTGAAACGTCAAGCTTTTCATCAGGAAGAAGAAGACATTTTTTTTCCCCAGTAGTCCCTTGTGTAATGGTAGCCATATTGTGCAGGAGTTGATGCTATAATAGCATCATTAAGTGTTGATTAAAGTATTGACAGTGTATTAATGAGAATGATGAAAGCTCTCATTCATCTCCAGGAGCAGAGGACTTACCCTGGATGTCCTGCAGGTGCCTTATTAAAATGTCATAATGGCAGGGCTTTTTAGCTATTCAGTTAATGGTGGGGATGTGCTCGGGAAATGATGACAAGAGAGAGACTTTGAAGTGTCACACCATTTTGAGTCATACTTTTAAACAGTAGGTCTCAGTAGTATGTGTGTGTGTGTTCATCTGCAGCAAATAGAGGGTATCGGGCAGCTGTGGCTGAGTGGTTAGAGCAGTCATCCTCCAATGGGATTGTTGGGGGTTTGATTCCACCAGCAGTTGAAGTGATCCTGGGCAAGACACTGATCCCCTCATTGCCTCTGGTGTGTGTCCCATCAGTCTCTACAGATTCAGCTTATCTTTGTAGAGATGGAGTAGAGTGCTGTATGATTGTGTGTGCGTGGAAGTAAATCAGGCACAGAGTGTGTTGTAAAGAGCGTTGGGCATCTTGATTAAATAGAAAGGATTTATACAAGTATCCTGATGCATGCTCAATAATCCAGGTAGAAAAATCCAAAAAAGTTCAATCTGGTCCTCTGGACATTCAAAAAAAAACAAAAACAAAGCAAAACAACAAAAAATGTAGAAACGTTTAGTCTCTGATCCAAGAGACTTCCTCAGTCTGAGGTGCTGTTTTCAGCTCAGTCTCTTAAATAGCACCATCTCAGAGTGGATCAACCAGTTTGCTGCTGACAACCAAAACCAGCTGATCACATGCTCAAGAAGGACCATCAGCCTAACAATGGCTCATTAGCACACTGATGGCTGTTTACTATTCGTCTGTACTCATCCCTTTAGTTGGCAGCTCAGAACACCAAATACAGAACACCATGGACTTTGTGGATAAGGTGAGGGATGTCATCATGGAGACTGATGAAACAATGGTCTCTTTTGATGTCACATCACTCTTTACGTGCATTCCTGTTGATGATGCAGTAGAGGTGGTCAGTTTAAAATTAAAATCAGACACCACTCTGAGCAGCAGGACCACACTTTCCACAGAACAACTGTGTCAACTCTTGAAACTGTGCCTGCAGTCAACCTGCTTCACATATGGGGAGCAATATTATAGGCAGAAACATGGGTGTGCTATGGGGTCTCCAGTTTCTCCTATTGTTGCCAACCTGTACATGGAGGAGGTAGAAAAGAGAGCCTTGACATCCTTTTCAGGGACACCACCAAGTCATTGGTTCAGGTATGTTGACGACACCTGGGTTAAAATTAAATCTCAGTAAGTCCAACATTTTACTGACCACATCAACTCTGTGGATAAATACATCAAGTTCACACGAGAAGATGTAAAAAATGACAAGTTGGCTTTCTTGGACTGTGAGGTCTCAGTCTCTGATAGAGGACATTTGCAAACTGAGGTGTACCGCAAACCCATCCACACAGACCAGTATTTGCAGTTTGACTCCCATCACCCTTTGGAGCACAAGTTAGGAGTCATCAGGACTCTGTATCACAGAGCAGACAGCATCCCCACTAGCTCAGGAGCCAGGCAGAAGGAGAAATCCCACACAAGACAGGCTCTAGAGCAATGTGGATATCCTAACTGGGCCTTCCTAAAAGCAGAGAAGAAACCCAAACAGGACTCCAGTCAGCCAACAGGTGAAAAGGAGGAACCCAGACCAGTGGTCATTCCATATGTTGAGGGAGTATCAGAGAAACTGAGACGTTTATTTTCTAAACATAACGTCCCAGTGGCTTTTAAACCCCAAAATACATTACGGCAAAGACTGGTTCATCCCAAAGAGCCAGTCCCCCGGCACAACTAGAGTAATGTTGTGTATGCTGTTCAGTGTCAGGAGGGCTGTGATCAGTCTTACATTGGGGAAACAAAACAGCCACTGGCCAAAAGGATGGCCCAGCACAGAAGATCAACATCATCAGGTCAGGACTCTGCAGTCTACACTCATCTCCAGGCCAGCGGTCACTCTTTCAGGGATGAAGATGTGCACATCCTGGATAGAGAGGAACGATGGTTTGAGAGAGGAGTAAAGGAGGCCATCTTTGTGAAAAGAAATCGTCCATCATTAAACAGGGGTGGAGGCCTCCGGGTTCAATTGTCCCCCTCTTACAATGCTGTGATTGCTAGTATCACTCAGCCCTCTGTGAATAGTAAACAGCCATCAGTGTGCTAATGATCCATTGTTAGGCTGATGGTCCTTCTTGAGCATGTGATCAGCTGGTTTTGGTTGTCAGCAGCAAACTGGTTGATCCACTCTGAGATGGTGCTATTTAAGAGACTGAGCTGAATACAGCACCTCAGACTAAGGAAGTCTCTTGGTTGAGAGACGAAACGTTTCTACATTTTTTGTTTGTTTGCTTTGTTTTTTTTTTTTTTTTTTTTGAATGTCCAGAGGACCAGATTGAACTTTTTTGGATTTTATACAAATACATTCCATTTACCATTTATCATCCCTATCACAAGTAGGTAGAAAAAGATCTGCAGAGGCACTGAAAAGCCATCAGATGGAGACAAATCACTGAAGGTAAGCTGCTGCTCTGCTGTTAACAGAGAGCTAAAGAGTTTGTGTCACTTTCAGATACAGGTACTATCACGAAACATAAAATCCCACAAAAACATTTTGGCAACTAAACAACAAACTTGAAGTAATATTTTTATTTTTTTATTTTGCAAAAATAAGATTTGAAATGAACATTGCAGATGTTCCTGAAGCAATAATCTTTATTTCTATTTTTTATTTATCCGTTATTCTAAATAACTATTTTTTCCTTAAAATCATAATTAACAGTTTTGTGTTTTCAATTTGATTTTTAGTCATCAACATTGGGATTTATGGAGTACCACAAAATAAACTGCAAACAAAGATTGACAAATTAAAGTACAAAATATACTGTAAGTTTAAATTCCCAGTTCCAGCATGGCTACATGTTAACAACACGTTAGAATGAAGGTCTTCTTATTAAAACTCTACAGATACGGATTTGTATAAGAATGATCAAATGTGCTCATCGTGAAACAAGTTTGTTATCAGACAAAAACTCCCAGTTTGATCAAGTGTTTTGTGTTTGTAGTTTTCCTCTCATCAGCCTCGTTTCTGGTATATTGACATAAACAAACAAAGAATTCTGTGACAGTGGATCATTTAGCACCCAACTACCAGCATTTCTAGTGATGCTCACATATTTTCTATAATCTAATGTCTGTATCTATAAATGTTCACACTGATGACAGTCAGCTCATCTGCAAATAAGAGAACAATCAAAGATGGCTGAGGGTATTTATCTGATATGTCCTGCTGGGCAAAGTCTCCACATCCATCCATCCATCCACCCACCCGTCCACCCATCGATGGATGGTTGTATCTATCCATTGATGGATGGATTTATCTGTCTGTCCGTCCATCCATCCAGAGCAAGAGAGGCCTCTTGATTTTTTTTTTGCCTACATGAGAATTGAAAAGTTATCTTTTTCTCAAACTGAAGTATTTTGACACACATTTAATTTAATTTGTTTTTATTTAAAGATATGTGTTGGATGGATAAACATACTTTTAAATTGTTCAATTTTTAACCTTTTTTTCTTCTGCCATTTAAAGCCACTCTTTGCAATGTAATGAGGACAAAAATAAACCATTCAAGAGTAATAAACGTTATTTGCACAATGTTTTTCTCATATCCCAGACTAACGTGTCCTTAGTTTCAAAACAATTACGAGCAAACTTTGTGAGCAACTGCCATCTGCATTTGTTTACCTGCAGGAACAGCCAAAGTATTTAGTTTAGTTTTAATCTCATGTATTTGTCCTTTGTCTTCTTGATGAGAACCTTTTGTTTCTCCTCCAGAACTCTGGTTCTGTCAGCCCACAGGAAGAGCCTGGTGCCCTCAAAGAAAACGGCTCCCCTGTAAGTGTCTGTTGTGGACCACACAGTTTGCTGTGTGTGTGTGCATGTGCGTGAGCGTGTGCATGTGTGTGTGTGTGTGTGTGTGTGTGTGTGTGTGTGTGTGCGTGCGTGAGCGTGCTTGTGCTCATTTTTCTGTATCAGTAGCAAATGTCTCATACATCACTGGATGGATTTTAATGAGAATATTTGAAAGTAATCATTAGGTTGACATCTCAACTGTTTAACTTTTGATCTTAATCCAGTGACCGGAGAACATGAGCACCAATAATCAACATTTTTGGTTTGACTGCTGGTGGCAAATTACAAACAGCTTTCACTCTCCAATTTGTCTTGAAATGTGTGTGTGTGTGTGTATGTGTGATGAGTCAAAGAAGGAGACGTGCATTCTTGTTTCTTGAATTTTTGTGAGACCATTTTTCTTTTAAATTAGTTTCTGATTTGTTACAGTTGTGTCAAGCTCATTTAGATTTTGTTTTGGACCTCTTTAACAATCTTAAGCGCACTAGAGCTATATTGATTTGCCAGCTTGTCTCTAATAGTCACAGCCAAGTGAGGCAGGGCAACCGACTTGGGACCCAAAAGTCCCAAGTCTGATCCCCAGTCATTGCACATCTCGTGGTGTCTCTGAGCAGGACACCCTATCCCCAAATGCTCCCCTGACACTTTCCATACCTGCCCACTGCACCACCTGGTGGTGGATAGGCTAAATGCAGAGATCCAATTTCACCATTGTATGGGAACATACAATGATGACAACACACAACACATTATTATTATTATTATTATTATTATTATTATACTGGCTTTATGTCTAACATGATGATCATTTTTTTATGAGGCCTCCGTTTCTGTGCACCTGCTCTGATGAAAAAGACATCAAACTCATTTCATATTTTTTATTTTACTTAAAGTGGCCTGGTCAGCAAGCTTTTCATTCTAATGACTCTGTTCAGTTTCTAACAACAAGCTAAAATACTAGTTCTGTCTCACTGGTTATACCTGAAATCCCCAAAAATACAATTGTTTTCAACATTTTTAATCTCATTGAGTGGACAGCTTCTTTTTCATGGAACACCAAAATGCTCAAAATTAAATAAGTAAATAAAGCATTATGAAATAAGAAAAAAAAAATCATTTTTATTCTTTTATTTCATAATTGTGTTTTTCATGATGGCTTATTTATTTCATGATGGCTTATTTATTTCATAATGGCGTTTTTCCATAATGGCTTATTTATTAATGGATCAGCCAGTGGGTGTGAAGGTTCAACCCACTGATGTTGATTGACAGCTGAAGTCATTCTGCTGAAAAGAGTCATTATGAAATAAATAAGCCATTATGAAAAACTCCATTATGAAAAAAATAAGCTATCATGAAAAACACAATTATGAAATAAAAAAAATAAAAATGAATAGTTTTCTTATTTCATAATGCTTTATTTACAAAGTATTTATTTAATTTTGAGCATTATGGTGTTCCATATAGGACCTCCTGACTGACTGAGCAGTCCTCGTTGTCTGTAAACTTGTGTGTTCTTCATTGCTAACATTGTGTTTATTGTGCTGTAGGTACAAGGCAGCAGACAGGGGAGGGAGTCTGTTGTGTCCCCGTTGACCATCACCCCCGAGAGCATCACCTCAGCAACAACAACACAAGTTACCAAGGTAACACTAATTATGTTTCCATGGTTACAGTTTGAGCCAAAGTACTCGGAGACAACATCCCATCTGAATTTTCTTGGCAACTGCTAATTAAAAAAATATTTTAAATAGGTCAGAAATTAGAAATCAGCCCCTCCCTGGGCTGCCACCTTACCGTGGTGGAGGGGTTTGAGTGTCCCAATGATCCTAGGAGCTATGCTGTCAGGGGCTTTACGCCCCTAGTAGGGTCACCCATGGCAGACAGGTCCTAGGTGAAGGACTAGACAAAGTGCAGCCCAAAGACCCAGATGAAGAGAAAAATAAATGGACTTAATGTTCCCTTGCCCGGACGTGGGTCACCGGGGCCCCACTCTGGAGCCAGGCCTGGAAGTGGGGCACGTGGGCGAGCGCCTGGTGGCCGGGCTTTTACCCATGGAGCTCGGCCGGGCACAGCCCGAAGAGGAGACGTGGGTCCCCCTTCCCATGGGCTCACCACCTGTGGGAGGGGCCAAAGGGGTTGGGTGCAATGTGGGATGGGGGGTGGCCGAGGGCGGGGACCCTGGCGGTCTGATCCTCGGCTACAGAAGCTGGTTATTGGGATGTGGAATGTCACCTCACTGGTGGGGAAAGAGCCTGAGCTGGTGTGTGAGGTTGAGAGGTTCCGGCTAGAAATAGTCAAACTCATCTCTACGTATGGCTTTGGCTCTGGAACCAGTTTCCTTGAGAGGGGCTGGACACTCTTCCACTCTGGAGTTGCCCCTGGTGAGAGGTGCCGAGCTAGAGTGGGCATACTTTTTGCCCCCCAACTTGGTGCCTGTGTGTTGGGGTTCACCCTGGTGAATGGGAGGGTGGCCTCCCTCCGCCTACGTGTGGGGGGACGGGTTCTGACTGTCATTTGTGCTTATGCACCAAAAGCCAGATCAGATTATCCACCCTTTTTGGAGTCCTTGGAGGGGGTACTGGAAAGTGCACCTCCCAGGGACTCCCTTTTTCTGCTGGGGGACTTCAATGCTCATGTGGGCAATGACAGAGAGACCTGGAGAAGTGTGGTTGGGAGGAACGGCCCCCCTGATCTGAACCAGAGTGGTGTTCTGTTGTTGGACTTCTGTGCTCGTCATGGATTGTCAATAGCGAACACCTTGTTCAAGCATAAGGGTGTCCATATGTGCTCTTGGCACCAGGACACCCTAGGCCGTAGTTCGATGATGGACTTTGTCATCGTCTCATCTGATCTGCGGCCACATGTCTTGGACACTCGGGTGAAGAGAGGGGCGGAGCTGTCCACTGATCGCTACCTGGTGGTGAGTTGGCTCCGATGGTGGAGGAGGATGCCGGTCAGACATGGCAGACCCAAACGTATTGTGAGGGTTTGCTGGGAAAGTCTGGCAGAGTCTCCTGTGAGACGGAGTTTTAACTCCCACCTCCGGGAGAACATTGAACATGTTCCGAGGGAGGTGGGGGACATTGAGTCTGAGTGGACCATGTTTCGTGCCTCTATTGTTGAGGCAGCTTACCGGAGCTGCGCTTGCAAGGTTGTTGGTGCCTGTCGTGGCGGCAACCCTCTAACCCGATGGTGGACACAGTTGGTGAGGGATGCTGTCAGGCTGAAGAAGGAGTCCTATCGGGCCTTTTTGGCCTGTGGGACCCCGGAAGCAGCTGATGGCTACCGGCAGTCCAAGCGACATGCGGCTCGGGTGGTCGCTGAGGCAAAAACTCGGGCATGGGAGGAGTTCAGAGAGGCCATGGAGAATGACTTCCACTTGGCTTCAAGGCGATTCTGGTCCACCATCCGACGTCTCAGGAGGGGAAAGTGGTACACCACCAACACTGTTTATAGTGGGAGTGGTGTGCTGCTGACCTCAACTCGGGATGTTGTGGGTCGGTGGGCGGAATACTTTGAAGACCTCCTCAATCCCACCGGCACGTCTTCCACTGAGGAAGCGGAGCCTGGGGACTCTGGGTTGGGCCCTCCAATCTCTGGTGCTGAGGTCACCGTGGTGGTTAAAAAGCTCCTCGGTGGCAGGGCCCCAGGGGTGGATGAGATTCGCCCGGAGTTCCTTAAGGCTCTGGATGTTGTAGGGCTGTGTTGGCTTACACGACTCTGCAATATTGCGTGGACATCGGGGGAAGTTCCCCTGGATTGGCAGACCAGGGTGGTGGTCCCCCTATTTAAAAAGGGGGACCGTAGAGTGTGTTCCAGCTACAGGGGAATCACACTCTTAAGCCTCCCTGGTAAGGTCTATTCGGGGGTTCTGGAGAGGAGGGTCCGTCGGATAGTCGAACCTCAGATTCAGGAGGAGCAGTGTGGTTTTCATCCTGGCCGTGGAACACTGGACTAGCTCTACACTCTCAGCAGGGTCCTAGAGGATGCGTGGGAGTTTGCCCAACCGGTCTACATGTGCTTTGTGGACTTGGAGAAGGCGTTCGACCGCGTCCCTCAGGGAAACCTGTGGGGGATACTCTGGGAGTATGGGGTACCGGGCCCTTTTATACGGGCTGTTAGGTCTTTGTATGACCGGTGTCAGAGCCTGGTCCGCATTGCCGGCAGTAAGTCGGGCTTGGTCCCAGCGAGAGTTGGACTCCGCCAAGGTTGCCCTTTGTCACCGCTTCTGTTCATAACTTTTATGGACAGGATTTCTAGGCGCAGCCAAGGTGTTGAGGGGATCCATTTTGGTGGCATTAGGATTGCGTCTCTGCTTTTTGCACATGTGGTCTTATTGGCTTCATCAGATTGTGATCTACAGCTTTTGTTGGAGCGGTTCACAGCCGAATGCGACGCCGCCGGGATGAAGATCAGTTCCTCCAAATCCGAGGCCATGGTCTTGAGCCAGAAAAGCGTAGAGTGCCCTCTCTGGGTCAGGGAGGAGGTCCTACCCCAAGTGGAGGAGTTCAAGTATCTTGGGGTCTTGTTCACGAATGAGGGAAAAATGGAGCGTGAGATCGATAGGCGGATAGGTGCAGCGTCTGCATTGAAGCAGGTGCTGTACAGGTCTGTCGTGGTGAAGAGAGAGCTGAGTCAAAAGGCAAATCTCTCAATTTACTGATCGATCTACGTTCCTACCCTCATCTATGGTCACGAGCTTTGGGTTGTGACCGAAAGAATGAGATCTCGGATACAAGCGGCCGAAATGAGTTTTCTCCGCAGGGTGTCTGGGCTCTCCCTTAGAGATAGGGTGAGAAGCTCGATCATCCGGGAGGGACTCAGAGTAGAGCCGCTGCTTCTCCACATCGAGAGGAGCCGGTTGAGGTGGCTTGGGCATCTGTTTAGGATGCCTCCTGGATGCCTCCCTGGTGAGGTGTTCCGGACACGTCCCACCAGAAGGAGGCCCAGAGGAAGACCCAGGGCACGCTGGAGTGACTATGTTTCTCAGCTGGCCTGGGAAAGCCTCGGGATTCCCCCGGAAGAGCTGGCCCAAGTGGTTGGGGAGAGGGAAGTCTGGGCCTCCCTACTTAGGCTGCTACCCCCGCGACCCGACCCCGGATAAGCGGAAGAAAATGGATGGATGGATGGTCAGAAATTATTTTCAAGCAAATTGAATCTGTGATTTTAAAACATTTCAAAGTGCTTGTTTTAATCTTTAATTTGAGATTTTTGCTTCTTTTTCAAAGATGGTCTAAGAAATACTACTGTTTGTTGTTTCACTTTTTCTTACTGGACAATTTAAGATGATCAGATAACATTTTGAGTTTTAACACTTTGTCAAGAATCATTAGCTGTTTCTCCTTGACAAAGTTTTTTCCCTTGTGTTAGTTTTCACAAACAATCAGTCCAGCTTTATCTTCCGACCCACCTGCTTTTATTGCTGTGTATGTTGGGTCATCATCTGTCTGCAATGCAAAGCAGTGTACAGCTGTCTGTTGCTATACAAGTACAGTCCATTTATCATTCCATTTCTTTCTTTTTTTCTTTACTTATTTATTTATGTGGCTGCTCCCTTTTTTTCAGGGGTTGCCACAGATTATTTTTTTTTATTGTTTTAGTGGAATGATTATGCAAATATTACAGGTGCTGGCCATAAAATTAGAATATCATGAAAAAGTCGATTTATTTCAGTAATTCCATTCAAAAAGTGAAACTTGTATATTATATTCATTCATTACACACATACTGATATATTTCAACTGTTTTTTTCTTTTAAAGTTGATGATTATAACTGACAACTAATGAAAACCCTAAACTCAATATCTCAGAAAATTAGAATATTACTTAAGACCAATTTAAAAAAAAGGATTTTTAGAAATGTTGTCCCAACTGAAAAGTACGAACATGAAAACTATGAACATGTACAGCACTCAATACTTATTTGGGGCTCTTTTTGCCTGGATTACTGCAGCAATGCAGCGTGGCATGGAGTCGATCGGTCTGTGGCACTGCTCAGGTGTTATGAGAGCCCAGCTTGCTCTGATAGTGGACTTCAGCTCTTCTGAATTGTTGGATCTGGTATATCACATCTTCCTCTTCACAATACCCCATAGATTTTCTATGGGGTTAAGGTCAGGTGAGTTTACTGGCCAAATAAGAACAGGGATACCATGGTCCTTAAACCAGGTACTTGTAGCTTTGCCACTGTGTGCAAGTGCCAAGTCCTGTTGCAAAATGAAATCTGCATCTCCATAAAGTTGGTCAACAGCAGGAAGCATGAAGTACTTAAAAACTTACTGGTAGACGGCTGTGTTGACCTTTGACCTCAGAAAACACAGTGGACCAACACCAGAAGATGACATGGCACCCCAAACCATCACTGACAGTGGAAATTTGACACTGGACCTCAAGCACCATGGATGCTGTGCCTCTCCTCTCTTCCTCCAGATTCTGGGATCTTGATTACCAAAGGAAATACAAAACTTACTTTCATCAGAGAACACAACTTTGGACCACTCAGCAGCAGTCCAGTCCTTTTTATCTTTAGCCCAGGTGAGACACTTCTGTTGCTGTCTGTTGTTCAAAAGGGACTTGACACAAGGGATGCTACTGCCGAAACCCATGTCTTGCATACGTCTGTGTGTGGTGGTTCTTGAAGCATTGACTCCAGCTGCAGTCCACTCTTTGTGAATCTCCCCCAAATTTTGGAATGGGTTTTGTTTCACCATCCTCTCCAGGGTGCGGTTATCCCTATTGCTTGTACACTAGTTTGTACACAACTGTCAAGTCAGCAGTCTTCCCCATGATTGTGTAGCCTACAGAACTAGACTGAGAGACCATTTAAAGGCCTTTGCAATTGTTTTGAGTTAATTAGCAGATTAGAGTGTGGCACCAGGTGTCTTAAATATTGAACTTTTTCACAATATTCTAATTTTCTGAGGTACTGAATTTGGGGTTTTCATTAGTTGTCAGTTATAATCATCAACATTAAAATAAATAAACTTTTGGAATATATCAGTCTGTGTGTATTGAATGAATATAATATACAAGTTTCACGTTTTGAATGGAATTACTTAAATAAAATCAACTTTTTCATGATTTCTAATTTCATGACCAGAACCTGTATATTATTACTATACAGCAAAAAAACTTCAAAACATGTGCAGCCAAAGCCTTGTTTTTACAAATAATTGAAAACCATTCCACCTGGAAAAAAGGATTCAAGTTCAAAATAGTATGACATTTATGCCCATTATATGTAGATAGATGCCCTGACAGATTTTTCATGACCTGAACTCAAAGATGTAAGACTTTTTGTACATACACAATAGACCCTTTCCCCTCAAACATTGTTCACAAATTTGTGTAAATCTGTGTTAGTGAGCATTTCTCCTTTGCTGAGATCATCCATCCAATTTACAAGTGTGGCATGATTATCGCACAGGTGTGCCTAAGGCTGACCACAATAAAAAGCTACTCTAAAATGTGCAGTTTTATCACCCAGCATAATGCCACAGATGTCACAAGCTTTAAGGGAGCATGTAAATGGCATGCTGACAGTAATTTGGTCTTGGGAAGTTCTCAGTGGGAGGCATATATTAGACATATTTTTTGTTGTGGACAAATAAAGTCGACAACACCTTGAAATCATGTTGTGATGTCCAAAAACACCTTGTAAGTTTAAGCTTCTGTTTCTGCAAAGCTCAAGTCCTTAACGAGTCCTTTTTGTTTGTGTTTTACAGACTGTCAAAGGAGGCTACTCAGAGACCAGAATCGAGAAAAGAATCATAATCACAGGGGATGATGATGTGGATCAGCATCAGGTGAGGTTGTGTGTACCAAGCACAATGTGGGTGTAGGTGTTGGTTATAGTAGTCACTAAAATGTTCAAAGTTGGTGTTTTATGGCTGCAGGTGCTTGCCATGGCGATCCAGGAGGCCAAACAGCAGCATCCAGACATGCTGGTGACAAAAGCAGTGGTTATCAGGGAAACAGAGTCTCCCACTGAGGAGCTGCCACGGAAAGTAGAGGTACATGTCAGAGCAGACAAATGATCATACAGCACGTCACAAGGTTTTATTACTATGAATGGATTCATTTACAAACTTACCATACAGTTCATCTGTGATGCAAAAGCATCAGGCGTCATAAAGCTATGGCTGAAGTAGTCAGGAGTTGTGGGACAGATGGGCTCTCAGGAAAAAAAAAAGATGTACCGTATTTTCTGCACTACCTGTATACATCGCTCCGGAGTACACGTCGCATCAATCAAAAAATGTCTCATGAAGAGGAAAAAAAACAAAACATATATAAGTTGTTTTGGAGTATAGGTCACATTTATTTAGAAGTGTATTTCACAATGTGCAAGAACAGACATTTAATCTGAAATAACAATCAACGGGGGCTGACTGACTGTCGGGAGCACCGGGACATTTCCTGGTGGCCTAGCGCTCAGTGGTCGCCGAGGGACTGGGCTAAAGGCTTGGTTCAGGTTGTGCTTTATTATTTTAAATAAACAAGCCGCTCTTGCCTGGTCTCACTCACTGAATCTGCAGTGTAATGATGGGGAAAAACAGACCCCCCCTGCCCCCTCCTTTCTTTCTCTGAGTGTGTCTGTCACAGCAGAGACACACAGGCTGCACGCGCGCTCACGTGGACTTACGCTGTCGCATGCGCCGCGCTCACACTGACCATACCTGTGATCCTGAACAGGCTTAATTAACATAACTTGCCAAGGGGTCCGACAAGCACGTTACCATCCTTGGTGTCGCTTCTGAACAACTCCACCAACTCCAGAGGAAGATGGGACAGGGGTGGCAGAAGAGGAACAACATATGGTATGGTATGGTATAAAGTTTATTCATTTTAAAAATACAAAACAGTTTCATAACTATATAAAAAAATACAGAATATTTAAAATGGAAGGCAGTAGAAAGAAGAAAAAATCTTATTATATCTGCCCCTTTTTTCAAACAATTAGTTCAATCATAATAATTTTCAAGTACCAGAACAAAATGAATAACTCTTTCTAATTTTTCTAATTGTAATACAAAAAACACACTAAGCTACTTCATATATACTTTTTTTAACAATTCAGCTTTGATCTTTTTCTTAAATGTACACATTGACTTGACATTTTTAACATCGCTCTCTAGACCATTCCACAATCCAACTCCTTGGATTTAGGTAGATCTTCCCTTCAGACTAGTTCTGAATTTTGGTTTGACAAATATCTCTATCCACTTAAGATTATAACAACTTTGTCTTTTAACAAAATTTCTTTGGATATTTAATAGTAATGTGTTATTTTGAGCCCTATACATAACTGATAAAATACTATAATCTACCAAATCATGGAACTTTAATAACTTCAGTTGAAAAAAGAATGTGCTTGATGGGTGACTGTAATGCTTTCTGGTGATAATTCTTACAGCTCTTTTCTGTAAAATAAAAATAGGCTTTGTAAATGTTTTACACGTGTAGTGTGCTAAAAGTCTCGATTAGCTTGGTTAGCTTCAGATCTCCAGTACAGTCATATTTTAAATTAACGGGTTCTCTCTTTTTCGAGCTTTACAGATATGTGACAGATGTACTGTGCGTAGATGGTTTAATCAGTGACATGAGACGTTAATTTTCTTCGACCCATCAAAATAAATGTGGTCATTTATTAACAGAATCAAAATTTAACATCAAAACTTTGTACACTTGATTAGACTGATCTGCTTCTGATTAATAAAACTTGGCACGTTTTACTTAATAAAAACAACAGACATTTCTGAAGGCATCTGGATTAATTACTGGCAAGATAGAAGTTTAAAGATGGGAAATGAAGGAGTTTAAATGGAGAGAAAAGATGGATGAGGGAAAGTGTGTTGACTAGGAATGCCACCCTTCATCCGACCCCAGCTCAGCCCCGGTACACTAGGTAGTGAAGCGACTCGTTACCTTTGCAGAAGATAGGTCAGCTCCGGTACGGAGTTCCATTTAAACGCTACCTTCAGCGTCTCTGATCAGGATGGCTGAGAATCGTCCGAAGTAGTGACGGTACTCCGTTCAACAAACACGCTCATCTCCCGGGTGGACACACAGCAAGCTGTGAGTTTAGTCAGAGGTTCCACTCAGATGTGGAAGACTCCATAGTCCTAACTTGACTCAGAAGACTGAAGACTCAGAGGAACTCAGAGGAACTAACGGAACTCCGAGGAATTAAGAGGGACTAACAGTTCCAGGAAGTGTCGACTTTTAAAGAGTTCTGCTTCCGGTCACTTTTAGTAAGTCCTGATTGGTTGGAGGAACCAACAGGGGTGTGGTTTTAGTGACGTCAAAGGGTTTTTACAAGTCGAGAAAACAGCAGAAATGTTTAGGAACAGACAGAGAAATGTTTTGACGAAGTGAGAAACACCGCAGGTGCCAGTTCTCTTGTTTACTGTCTGAGAGCTTTAAAAACACGACAGCTTGTTCCAACAACTTGTTTTGGACTGTCTCCGACTTTTGAACAACATCACTCCTTCTCATTTCAGACAGAAGATCAAAAAATGCATAATCACTTTGTAAAATAAACATTTAACTTGATTTAATTTACTTTGATTGATAAAACAAAAAAGAGTGTTCTTTCAGTTGATTAGTTCAGGATACAATTAGAAAGTCTCTGGATGAGCTAATTTGTATTTCTGGATTCAAATTAATGAAATAACAGTTCCTGTCCCATGAAGGTCTTTAGAGGCAGGTTTTGATCGGAGGCCTAGTTCACTACAGTCCCCCCTTTGGAAATCATCGCCTGTCCATGGGGATGAATTCCAACATGAACTTACGCCTCCAAATATCCTTGAGCTTGATGTAATCCAGCAAGAGGAACACAAAAGTCAAGAAAGGTAATCCCACAACGGTTTAGGTAATTCCACAATGTTGTTGGTAATTCCATAACGTTGTTGGTAATTCCATAATGTTGTTGGTAATTCCATTGTAGCAATGCTTTAACCCCTTGGAAACAGAGTCTGTAATCCATTGAAAAAAGTCATATAATCCACAACGAAAAATCCACAATGAATGGAGGTGTTGATTGATCAGCATGCAGAGGGGTTCCCTCGATTGAACTGCAGAGGCGACCACTGGATGAAGATTGGAGACCCACGTTGGAGTTGTAGGTCCCTTCAGCAAAGGTTGCTGCTGGTGGTTCCCAGTGGGTGCCATCCTGGTTCTATGTGTTATGCATTTATGTGGTTTTAGTTGGGCTTATGTAATGAAATAATACCTGTCTGATATTATCCATAATTTAAACGGATTCTTTCATTTTTCTGGACTGAGTACTCTCGTGCCTTGAATGATTAAATGTGGACGGAAACGTGTTTTAATTTCTGACTCACCAACAACAGTGAGCCGTTTAATTAAAAACGATTTAAACACATCACACATTTACAATAATTGGCAGATTGATTACAATAACACAGCTTAATTAATGAGCTTTACAATGAGAACCATACGGCCATGATATCTCACTTGCAACTAATTACAACAGACATTTATGAAAATATCTGGATGATTTACTAGCAAGATAGAAGAGTTTTAAAGATGGGAAATGAAGGAGTTTAAATGGAGAGAAAAGATGTGTGAGGGAAAATGTGTCGACGAAGAACGGCACCCTCCATTCGAACCCAGCTCTACCTCGGTACACTTCGGTAGTGGAAATCGACTCTTTACCTTGCAGAAGATATCTCAGCATCGGTGTAGAGTTCTCTTTTAACGTTACCATTTCAGCGTCTCCGTAGGATAGCAGAGAACCGTCCGGAGTAGTGACGGTACTTCGTTCAACAGCACGCTCACCTCCCAGGTGGACTCACATGAGCTGTGAGCCCGTCAGAGTTCCACTCAGATGTGGAAGATTCCATAATCCCCACGAAACTCGGAAGAACTTCGGATCATGTCTGGAACTTCTTGTTCTCTCCAGCAACTTTTCTGTTCGGTTCTGCTCTCCGAACTTTGGTTCATGTCTGGAACGTTGTTCAGCTCGGAACTTTGTTCTGCGTAGTTCCCGTTGTTCTGCGTAGTTCCCGTTGTTCTGCTTGGAACTAGGAAGTGTTGACCCTTTTAAAGAGGTCACTTCCGGTTCCTTCTGGGAACTTCCTGATCGGTTGAACGAACCAACAGGGGTGTGGTCTTAGTGACGTAAGAGGGTCATTAAAAGTCAAGGAGAAAGCGTAGATGTTTAAGAACAGACAGAAAGATGTTTTGAAGAACAGAGACATTTAGGAGCCAGTCTTCCTTCTATCTGTCTGATAGAGATAAACATGATATTTTGTTCCAATAAACATGTTTTTGACCGTTCCTTCACTTTTGACCGATATCACAACTTGCTCATTTCAGACAGAAGATCAAAAAAATGCATAATTACTCTTGTAACAGACATTAACTTGATTTCTACTTTGAATGAGGATTAAAAATCATTAATACTGTTTCACAGTTCATTTAAAATGAGTAGTTCACTTCAACATTTAAAAATGATTTGAACTAAACACACTTTGATTATCAAGATATTGTAAAATAGTAATGATAATAAAAAAAGAGAGTGTTCTTTCAATTGATTAGTGCAAGATACAATTAGAAAGTCTCTGGATGAGCTTAATTTGTATTTCTGCATACAAATCAATGAAATAACAGTTCTTGTTCCAGGAAGGCCCTCAGGGCCAGGTTTTTGACCTGAGGCTTAGTTCACTACACTTATGAGTGGGGTTTTATACAAGACCTTAACCTATATGCACCTGGTGTGTAAGCTATCATGGTTTAGATCAGCTAAAGTTACCAGTTTAAAGGGTGGGTCATGCTGAAAAATTTTCATATAGAGATTTATACCTATAGAAGGGCATTTCAAACAATTTTTCCATTCCTAACTTGGTTTAAGTTAGATTTACATGGCAAAATATAATTTGGTTCAATTGTCTGTTGTCCTTTTAGACGAACGACTTGAGGTTTGATTTTTTTGGTTTTCCCCTAAATGTTTTGGAGTCTATGGCGAGACTCAACT